TAGAGGGCGTGTGAGGGCCGGTGTAAAGTTTTGCAAATTAGAATTTGCAGAGGGCAGTTAAGTGGGGTATAAGAGAGTGGAGCAAGTGAACACAATGCTTAGATGGCAAAGATGAAGACTGAGAAATAGCTATAAGTGTCAGAGGAGGTATGTATGTTTTCAAATACATTTTCAGATTAGGAAAATGATAACTTATGAAACTCATTAATTTCATTCCAAAAAGGAAATCCATTGTTTACAACAAAGGGAACAAGAATGGGTGGTCTGTTGGTGAGTGATATAAGACACAATCATTGAAATGAAAGAGGTTTAGTCAAATCCAGACAAGAGGAAGAGAGTGAACTAAAGCATCTCGGACTGGCGGAAGTGCATGGGTCTTTTTATCTGTGGACCATTGTCCTCAAGACTTCAACTGATCAAACTACCCCCCCCCCATCTTTGGAGATGAACATCAGGGAAGAGAAACAATCCAGAAGAGGGAGAGGAATTGGTAAACTCGACTCATGGGGGAAATGTTCAACTACCAGCACATGTAGATGAAAATTCCTTTGAATGCATTTGAGGAGGAGGAGATAATTCTGTGATATGTAACATGGATAGGATAGTTTGTGGTGTAAATAGGGAGAAAAAAATTAGATTATGCTATCAAGGGTTAGCAATGGAGGTCATAACAGACAAACAAAGTGATATAGCAGTGATGCAGTCTTTATTGTGCATAAAGGAGCTAATGATGTAGGGAAGGATGGGTCAGAGGAACTAATTGTTAAATACAAGTAGTTGTTAAAAGCATTTATAGAAAAGGGCCATAACATAATAGTGGGAATGAAGTTAAAAGTAGGTCACTGGGTCTGAATGCCAGGCTTAAGTTAATATGTAAGGACAAGCATATTGACCAGTTAGACTTGTGTTATCAGTTCAATGTGAAAAGGTAGTTTTTTGGAATGGATTACATTTAAATAGACTAGCGGTGGTTTGTTTGTAAGTGCTATTAAATCAGCTTTAAACAAGGACTAGACACTGGTGAGGGTCAGGATAAACTAAATGAAACAAAAAAAAAAAAGAAGTAGAGAAAATCTTAGTGTAAGAATAAAGTACAGAAGTAATTTTAAGGGTAAAGTGTTACTATTGTAATGCTAGAAATATAAGAAATAAAATATATGACTTTATAGTACTGGTCAGAACAGATGATTTTGGTATAATGGAAACAATTAAAACTTAAACACAGAAAATATTAATGACAGAAATTTCTTTGGGTTACAGGTTATTCAAAAAGGGATAGAATGCTAAAGATATGGGGAGGTGATTTTATATGTAAAATATGAGTTACATTCTGTTAAGTTGAGGATATTAAAGATAACAGCAAGAAGATTGAATATATTTGGGATTCTGTTAGAGTATATGGGGAGAGAAGGCTGTTAGTAGGAAATTTTTACAGATCACAAGATCAAATTGATGAAATTAATGAGAAATTACAATGAGATTAAGATTTCAGCTTTTAATGAGTCATAATTATGTAAGAATTTAATTGTAGGCATACAGACTGGGAAATTTTAGAGCCAAACCATAAATGAGGGAAACAGGGTTTTAGAAATTGGTCAGGACCACAAATCAGTCAGGGAACCTATTGAGAACAATGCTATTTTAGATTTATTGTTAACTTCTAATAAGGAAATGGATGATAGGGTAAACTTGGTGCAAGTGATTATTCATTCATCAATAAGATTTGATGTTTTGCTGCATATGGAGATAACAAATAGTGAGATTTGGATTCCAAATTAACAAAAAAGAACTTGATGGGATTTGACAAGAACTATTTTTGTAAAATGGGCAACTGAATTAATTGCAGATAGTGATCAAATATGGAAAAAGATTTTGAATAAATTTGTAAATATTCAAGATAGACACGTTCCTTATTATAAAAACAAAAAAGTTATTGCAAGTAAAAAACCAGGTTGGCTTATAAAAGGTATAAGAAATAAAATTAAAGAAAAGCATCATAAATAAAAGTTTCAATTGACTGCTATGGTAAAGAGGCTTAGAGAATTATGGAAGATTGATAGAGTTGATCAATCAGGTAATCAGGAAATGAAAGAGGATATATGGGAAAAAGAAAGGCTGGCTGAAAATATAAAAATTAACAGTCAGGATATCTTTAAATACATTAAGGGTAAGCAAAATGTTAGTAATGGTTGGTTGGATGTTGGTAAGCACAAAGTTACACAATGGGCTATCTGTGTTGTGCTCACCATGGGTGTGTTAGGAAGGAAGTAGGCCTTTGAAGGATGATAAAGGAAGACTTAAATCTGATGATTATGAGATGGTTGGGTATTAAGTTTTACTTTTTCTTCAGTTTTTAAATGAAGATTTAAACAATATTCCTCATCCTGAACATTTTCTAGATCTAAATAAGATCAAACAAAATAATCACTTTAATACCGAGCTTCTTCATGGAATGGATATTCAGCCATTTGCTACTATTTTTGAAAGTCCTTGAATGGTGGCCAGGTGCTAGAGGATTAGAAATGGGCTCATTTTACTCCTCTTTTAAAGGAAGGTGTAAAAATTGTCCCAGAAATTACAGACCTATTAAATCTTATATCAATGGTTGGAAAAGTCTTTGAAAGTCTGACAAAAGATGCTTTGCAAAGTCCTTTAACAAAGTTTTAAATTATTTTAGATACTCATCATAATTCATTAGAGGAAATTCTTTTGACATTCTTTGAAGATGAGGGTAAGGGTGTGGGTTTGGTGGTTTATCTGGATTTTTCAGAAAACACTTGACAAGGTGCCACATAAAAGGCTAGTTCAGGGATGAGAACAGAAGATGAGAAGCCTGGGGGTATGGGGGGACAGGTGAAGGTTTCTATTACTCATCTAAATGGGGTTTCAACGGGGCATCTTCCTTCATACGTAATGGTGAAAATGGTAGAACTAGGGGACACAAGTATAAATTTTGATATGGTAGAAGTCATCTTCAGCTAAGATGGTTATATTTTTCTAACAGGACTTTGGAATTGGTTGCCTTCAGATGTGGTGGAAGCAGAATATTTAAGGGGTTTTTACAGGAAATCTTGATAAATATTTGAATTATTTTTTGTTCAACTTGGGGCATAGATAGTGGGTATAACAGAATACATGGCCCATCTAACTAATGAATGAATATTTGCTGTAAAATTCTTATCAATGCTATAAGTGTAGCTAACAGTTTCGTTCCTTTAAGTTGCATGCTCAATCCTTTTTTGGAAGCACCTTTTTTCACATCTAAAGTGTTTTTGGTTAGATATCATAACTTTTTATCAATAAACACCAACAAACCACAGCAAATAAGAAAGTGACACACAATAGTAACCAGCATTAACTTTAGGATTACAACCCTATTATTCGAAACAGGCACATATTTTATAGAACCAACCAAATTCTTTAAAATATATGGTGTTAGTTTTTCCTATCTAAAACAGTGTTAATAGCTTCTTTTATAGTAACACCATGGAAACTAGATTAACAGTTTCTTGTCATCACCCACATGCACTAGGTACAGCCATATCAAACATCATTATTCACACTAATTGCTTAAGCTAATATCATGTGATGCTAAATGCTCTTTAATTAAGAGAATATCATAAAATTTAGCCAACTTGTGCTTAAAATTTGGCAATGAATAATAACCATCCACTTGTATGATTCTTTTGAAAAATGAGCTAGAAACTGCTAATTTAGTTTGCTTGGCTTAACCAATACTAATGCATCTGCATGTGCTTTCACCCTAATTTTGCTCCTCTAAATCAGCCATCTTTAATTCAAATGACAAAAACTAAAAACCTTCCACCTTTACTCTTAGTTGAAGCTGTAGTAAAAATTTGAGACTGCTAGCTCACATGATTTTTTTCATAGGCATGCACAAAAATTTTGGTCAAAATTGGTTTTTGTTGCACATGTGGCTTATACTTAGATCAAAGTTGACACCTAATTATAACTTGTAAAAATCTATCAGTGTACCAAAATTGAAAAAAATCCATGAAAGTTAAGTAAGTTTTTCTATCAAATAAAGTTTCCATACTTTCAATGTGATGAAAAAAAAAAGGAAGAAAGTCAATCAAAATTGGAGATTTTATATCTCATGTATTTCTTAATGGATTGCATTGAAATTTGGTATGTGAAGTAAGGGTCCAGTAGAGCACATCATCCTCTCAAAATATATGATAGTTTGTATTACCACAGTCTGAGCTGTAGAAAGTAGAAAATTACTAAACTATAATCCCTGTTAATTGTTTGTTTTGAATTTTGCACAAAGCTACACGAGGGCTATCTGCACCAGCCGTCCCTAATTTAGCAGTGTAAGACTAGAGGGAAAGCAGCTAGTCATCACCTACCACCAACAACTCTTGGGCTACTCTTTTACCACTGAATAGTGGGATTGACCGTTACATTATAATGCTCCCACGGCTGAAAGGGCGAGCATGTTTGGTGTGACGGGGATAAGAACCCGCGACCCTCAGATTGCGAGTCGAGTGCCCTAACCACCTGGCCAACTCCTGTTAATAACACACAGTGTGTCTTGCAGGTTGTTTTAGCTGCCAGACACACTACCGTGTATCTTGATAATTGTTTCTCCAATTATTTTTTGAATGATTTAATTTGTTCATTTCAAACACTTAGTAAAAGTTAACATAAATAAGAATTAGTATATAAAATGAGAAAAGAGGTAGAATGTAACATTCATGAGTTAAAACATTTATGGTTGCAAATCAGAGTTACTTAAACATGTTAGATTAATAAATTTTAATGTTTTCAATTTATAGGATATAACATTTTTCTTTTATTGTTTTACATTAATTTTAGCATTAAGTCATTTTCTTGTTAAATTAAGATACACTACAAGTAAAAATGACATTCCCAGATATTAAAAAAAAAACTGACAGTTTTATCATGTTATCATACAAAAATCAAATTTTAGTACAATTAGACCAAAATGAAAAAAAAACAAAAAAAAAAACACTAACCAGCCTTTGGAATCACCTTGACAAACTGGATCAGAATATTTAGCTTCTTCTGTACATGTTTCTTCATATCCCCAACATACCTTTTTATCTAGATGTTTCTGAATTGGAAGATTATGTTGTTTTATTGACCATTTTCAATTACAATATAACAGTTGTTTACCTAAACATTTTATATTTAATCACATGGTAAGTACTTGTTTAATATACAGTGTCACATTTATCTTTAGGTTTTATTTCAAAAAATGTAGTTTTGGGATCTGGTTTGTATTCTTTACACATTTACACTAATAATTTTGCATCTCTATGAAGTTATAAGAATAAATTATTAGAGTTTGATGTTTAGTAGTGTTTGCTAATCAACTTGTGGACAGGCTAATTGATTGATTACACTTGACTAATCAATTAGCACATGCTCCCTACAGAAGTAAAAACAAACAAAAAAAATGGATGTGGGTGTGCTGCCTTCATAATTTTTTCAACCACTAGATAATTCTAACATGGTATTAATCTTCCCATTTTTATTCAATTTTTTATTTATTAAGTAATTTATGAACTATCCCTGGTTTCATATCAGACCTTTTCTGAAGGTTTCCATTTTGAGGAAAACATTTTTTGTTTAAAAAATATTATGCTACAAGTTGATGATTAAATAATGAAATCACGGTTTACTTTCATTGATAAAAGTAAAAATGTTTTCATTTAAAACACATGGTAATTATAAATAAATAAATAGCTAGTTACACTTTTTATTTATGTACATTGTTTGAATAGGATAAACATAAAATAATATTCAATAAACATTTGAGTAACCTTAAACTTATCTAATTTGATGAAGAATTTTATTTTATTTGGCAAACATGAAAAAAATAAATATTGTGTATACAAATATTAGAACTCTATTAAGAAGTAAAAACACTATAATTTAAAAGAAAAAGAACCAAACATCAACAACATACTTTTATAAAAGCCTTAAGCAATCTCCAGTCATATGTATGTATATGTAAAGTTATACCTGATGATGACAAAACTTTCTCCAAACATTGTACATTTGTTACTATCTTAAACTTTAACCCTTTCATTACAGGCTGGGTGGAATACACCCAGCTTGTAACCATGAAAGTATCCATAAGAGTAATTATACTATGATTTTGATAATGTATGCACACAAAATATTGGGCTTTTAAATTAAGTATTAAGATTTTTTAATTAAAGATTTTCTTGTAAACCTTTTTGTTCAGAGTGCTGACTATACAACATGCAAAGCAATTTTGATTTTAAGATTGAAAATACTTTAATGCAATAGAACATTTTCAAATTTCATATGCAAAATCTTTATAAACTGCAGATAATTATAATATTATTTTTAGAAAAACTTTATATTTTATTTGTTATTTTCACTACTGTATTTCTGTACAGGTTGGTTTAATTTGACCAACTTCTTAATCTCAATAAAAAATATAAATTATGCATTTTTCATTATAGAATGACTACAAATTATAACATGAAAACACAAATGTTTAGTCTGAATAGCTTAAATCTCATAACATTATGCATTTACTTATATTTATTATATTGACCTTCCAGCC